ATCTATCTATCTATCTATCTATCTATCTATCTATCTATCTATCTATCTATCTATCTATCTATCTATCTATCTATCCTATCAATCTAATGGCATTGAACAGATTATATGAGAGGAAGGTACAGTTACAGTCCAACAAAAAACTATCTCAAGCAGACAAAATGTAATATTTCTCCTTCTTCCCATGGCATAATTGGGCTTCAGGCTTTGACATCAAGTTCTGTACTGAATATCCTCCTTGATTTGTTTCAGCTACTGAATGTATTTTTACATTTTTTGCTACTGTGGGAAACAAGAAATACCATATGATTTACTGACGCTTCATTTCAAATGTTACTTCTCAGCAGGGGTGGGATTCAAATTTTTTAACAACCAGTTCAGTGGGTGTGGCTTAGCTGGTGGGCGTGGCTTGGTGGTCATGTGACTGGGTGGACGTGGCTTGTGGGTCATGTTATTGGCTGGGCGTGGCCAACTCAATATTACTCACATTGAGGCACATTGCCTGACCTCTCATGACTGTGGGGATGCTGCAACAGTCGTAAGTGTGAAAAATGGTCATGTCACTTTTTTCAGTGCCATTGTAACTTTGAATGGTCACTCCACACAAGTAAAGTACCAGCAAAGGAGGGGGAAAAAACTCCAGAGAAATTCCTGAGACAGGAAGTCTAGTCCTGCCAAGAATGTAATAAGGGTTAACGGAAAGGAAATTTCTGTAAGCAACACCAGAATGTTTCCTTCCTGCCTTCCTTATAGGATTAGGCCAGTAATTTCTTCTAACAACAGCTTCTCCAAACTGCTTAGAATGTTAACATCCAGTTCTAGCGAATAGGTGCGAACTGGTAGAATCCCACCCCTGCTTCTCAGGAGGCTATTCCAGTTTTAAGTGTAACTAATAGGACCTACTGGCTATTTAAACTCTACTTAATACAAGTGAATTCAGGACTCTGTCATTAAAAGCCTTTGTTAAATTATAGTTGAACTCCTGGTCTTAGTGGGTATTGTCTTTGGTATCACAAAAGTCAAAAGCACTTGGTGCAAGAGCACCTGGAATTGAACAGAACAGTGAAAAATTAAACTCCAGGAACAAGTACACAGTAATACTGTTAATAAGGAGGGGGGTTACTGAATACATGGAAAATAGAGAATGGACAACTGGAGTTATACAATTGCAGCTTAAATTAACTTTGCAAAAAGCAGCCCCTCAAACTTTTGCAGGAAGTTAAGACTACCAGCACCCTTTAATGATAAAATCCATTAGGAATACACATGCCTCCATGCGTGAAGACCAGATAGCCGGCACACACATGCCCATTAGAAACCAGCCAGCCAGCTGGTCTTCACACTTTCATGGGCACCAGCCAGCTGGTCTTTGTGCATGCATGCACGTTAGAAACCAGAAGACCAGTTAGCCAGTTGGTTTCTAATGTACATGTGCGCACCGGAACCCAGAAGAGCAACAGGCGACGGCTGGCGTGCCCGGAGAGATGGCTCTGCGTGCCACATGTGGCATAGATTCGCCATCCCGGTGTTAAGGTCTATCTTGTATTGCTAACTGGCCAAGTATCTCGCCTGCAAGATAGATAGGTAGGTAGGTAGGTAGGTAGGTAGGTAGGTAGGTAGGTAGATAGAGAGAGAGAGAGAGAGAGAGAGAGAGAGAGAGAGAGATAGAGATAGAGAGAGATAGAGACAGATATAGATAGATATAGATAGATATAGATACAGATATGATGTTTTTATTGTTTTAAAATGTTCTAAGTTTTTTAATTTTAATATATTGTTTGAATTGTAAGCTGCGCAGAGTCATTGACTGAGATGGGCAGCTATAGAAATCAATCAATCCTTCAACTTAAAAAATAAAGCTTGAGCAGCAGAGCTGGAGCTGAAAAGCAATGGGGTAATGGTGAAATACAGATTGTTCATATAACACAGGAATAAAATATTAATACTATAATGAAAATGTTAGAAAGCTGATATTAAGCTCCATTTAAACATCCTGAAACTAGCAAACATTCTGTTTGAATTTTTGCAACTGTCATTGGGGATTATTGATTTTTAAAATTAAATTCAGGATGCTATATAATTGTTGGGTTTTAGTTACTATTTAGTCTATATGTCAAAATGAAAGTGACTAAGTTTTATTGAGGAAAACTGATTTAACCACAGGAACGTTAAGGTTTTTAATGATTTTGTGATATTATCCTTTTGGGTTTCTACACTATTTATAAAACATTGAATCATAGATCATTTATTATTTTTATATACTTGAAGTTGCTCACAATTGCTCCTTCCATCCTATTTGGACTGATTCTCTCTGCCCCATTTACTGCAGCTCCATTAAAAGAAAAACTTTTGATTCATACAATATATTTGGCAATTTGCGATGATGCTATTGCAGTAATTATTTCATTGGTTAGATTTCTTTCAGCATGTCATACCCTTATTATCCACTGAAGTAGCATAATGTAGCATAATTAATACATATATATATAAAATGAGAAGCTAGAATCAATCAAATTGCCTGCACTTTAATGACATTCCTTGGAATTATGGGTGCAATATTCCAGGAATTTTCCAATTGTTCCATTGGATTGATTGTCTCCTATAGAGTTCCAATCAGTCAGATTACTCGCCAAAACAGTCATCTTTCATTTATACCCTAACTTCAAGATCTACAATTTATAACTGGTGGCATTTGCAAAGGACAACTTCACTGGGAAAATTGGAAGAGTTGTTACCTATATTGATAGCTGTTTCTTGTTTGTCCCCCGTTAGTACCCAAATCTTGATCTCTGCTTTTATTAGAGTAGATATAGTTTCCGGGACGCCAGCTTGAAGGCGATCCTCAATTGCTGTTGCACCCAGAAGCAGCAATTCCTGAAGGAGAAAGAAATGGATGATGCAAGTTGATAGCAAGTTGTGTCTTACTTTTTTGTTGTTGTTGCTGACAAACCAATGTAGTTAATGGACATATAAGCATAAAGCTAGCCATTTCAGAAATCATCAGAATACCACCTGCTTTAAGAAATAATAGTAATTGAAACTTTAAAAGATCAACAGTGGAGGGAAGCATGTAGAATTACCATGTCAAGTGAGAATTAAATGAAATGGTTACCTGATGTTTCCCATCCATTGTCTAGAACAGGGGTTCCCAACCTGGGGTGCGAGACGATAGGCCAGGGGGTGCAAGAAAAGTCCAAGTAAATAATAGGACATTGGCTATATGTTGGCATTTTTATTTATTATGCAATGGATTAACTTTGTTTTCATTTTAGAGTTAAGTATCGTTATTTAGTGGCCATCACATACATAGCTGAAAGATTCAATCCTACCATATATTTAACGCGTTCAGTAGTTCCTAAAGTCTAAATTTCAGGGGGTGCAAGGTTTGAGTGAAATTTCTTTAGGGGTGCGGGGTGAAAAAAAGGTTGGGAACCACTGGTCTAGAAGCTTGATTTCTAAAAGGGATTTAGAAGGAAGGTACTCTTTTTGTAGCAGGTTTATAGCTTTCTAAATAGAGTGGTGCAGTGACCTAGAGGTGGAGCTCTTACCTCACAATTGAGGTAATTGAGTTCAATCCTAGGTAGAGGCAGATATTTATCTCTCTGGGCACAATGAGAATACATCTGCTGAAAAAAACTTCACATTGGCAACAGGAAGGGCATCCAGCCAATGGTGGGATTCAATTTTTTTTTTACTAGCGGTTCTGTGGGCGTGGCTTGGTGGGCATGGCAGGGGAAGGATACTGTAAAATCTCCAGTAAGAGCTGGTATTTGCTGGTTCTCCGAACAACTCAAAATTTCCACTACCGGTTCTCCAGAACTGGTTAGAACCTGTTGAATGCCACCTCTGCATCTGGCCATTAAACGGCCTGCTAGCTCCATTCAGTTGCCCAGACTCCACCCCGACCAGGAATTATGGGATCATTAAATGATGATGATAGCTTTCTAAATCAGCACAGTAGATTGTACTGTTGATACGACCAGGTAGGCAGCCATGCAGGACTTAATAGCATGTGCTGTTTGCCCTTATTAAGTTAAATGTGCTCTTTTGCACCTATAGTCATTTGTGTGCTGTTAGCTTATACCCAGTGAAGGATATTATTTATATATCTATTACAGTACATGTGCATTCGTAAGTTACAAATGAGCTCCAATTTGAACCTTGCTCCACGTTTAGGGAGGGAGGCATATCATTTGCCAAAAGCTGTAACTACAAATATATTATATTTAATGGGTTAAAAAATAACTGATATTTTGAAAAACATTGAACAGAACTCAATGTTTCCATAAAGAGAAAGTGTATATATTCAGTCACTACATGATGTATTCTGGAAGAGGAATGGTTAGGTTACAAACCAAACGTACAAGCCAAATGTTCATTTAAGAGATGATTAGTGTATTTTGAAAGTTATGCTGTAGCAATTAAAAAAACAACACTTTTAAACATGTGTTCCAGGAAAACGATCTTTTGATTTAGTATTTTTAAACCAAATGGTAAGCCACAGGAATGGAAAGCTTTTGAGCAGTTTTGAGCAGTTGACCTAAGTGTGAAAAAATGATTAATGTTTGAAAATGTGGCATTAGGAAAAAAAATTATCCATTTCTTTATCTTAAGAAAAGATAAACTCATCCATTTTGGTCCTTCCCTTTAGTAGACAAATTCCAAGACAGTAGGAAAGGACAGAGATGGGTTATTGTCATATTTTAGTTCCATTTTTCAGCACACTCTTGTGGACTAGCTTCTCAATTTCATCCCAGTCTACAAAGTCTGAGATGAAAAGGTCCTAAATAATGATACCTCCAAAGAGCTGGAAAATAATCTTGTTGCTTCCCTCCAAGCCAGAGGTCCCCAGTGCTGGCTGGGGAATTCTGGGAGTTGAAGTCCACCAGGCTTAAAGTTGCCAAGGTTGGAGACCCTTGCTCCAAGCTATGCTCCTTTTTCCAAAACACAGCAAGTTCCTTCCAGGATTTCTAACCAGTGCAGTTTTATAGGGAAGTTGAAAAATCATCAAAACTTCCTATAAGTCAAATTGTCTTATTCGAACTGACTTATTTATTTAAGAAATTTATAATTTACAATTCTTGACAGTGTGCATCAGTAAAAATCCTGAATAAGCCAAGCCAAAGAAAAATGATAGAAAAGTCAATTTAAAAACCACATCTGAACACAAGTGCATAATCAGGATTGGGAATAGCACTCAGTAACATTCTCACTCCCAGCAAGACAGGCGCAATTACCATCCTGGCCCAATTCACAGAAGGAAAAACAGAACTTCACAGCTCTACAAGGGAGGCTCTGAAAAAAACCAAATAAGATCAGGCCTGCCTGAATCTGGGGGAATGGGAGAGGGTGGGATTTCTTCCCAAAGGGTGATATCCAACTAAATGCTTTTCTCCTAGATCCAATTAGATGACACTGGATCAAAAAGGGGACCAGGAGCATGCTTATTCCGCCCAACATAATAGGGTGGACAGAAATAACTACAGTAGAGTGTCATAATTTAAAGCTAAGAATTGCATATAGGTGGTTACCAGGAACCAGAACAGCTTACGTTTAACTACTCATATTGTTGCATCTGGATGATTGCATATGCTGATGTAATAAGAGTGAAGCTATACTCACACACACTCTTTACTCATTCTTGGTCAGATTTTGTTCACCTTCTGCCAATTGCATTATGTTTGCCATTTCATCTTGCACAAAATGCAAGGGATTCTCCAGGATTCAAAGCAGCAAGTTTTTCATATATGTATGATTTAATCCAAGGTAACCCACCACCCACTAATTTCCAAGCAATAACTAAGATCTCAACCAAACCAGACACAAAAGTCCCCGGACAACCCAAGCTCCTTCTAGATCAATTGCTTCTCTGTGGCAAACCAATTGTGATGAAGGGAGGCCTTAAAGAACTCCAACTGGAAGTCCATGATGGGGAAATGATGATAACAACCCTTCCTCAATTCCAGATAGCATCACAACTGTCTGAGATTTTTTTAAAAACAACTGCAGTGTGTGCTCTTCTTATGAGTTGGACATTCAACAGCCAGCATCATGTCCAGTGGTGGTATGCTACTGGTTCAGACCGATTCATCTGAACCGTAGTAAGCTTCCAACTATCAGCTGAGAGAGTGGAAAGGCCTCCTACAATCAGCTGAGAGTAGAAAAAAAGTGCAGGATTGGGCCCCCCCCCCCCCCCCCCGCTTTTCTCTTCTTTATCCTCCCAGCTGGTTGGCGCTGCAGGCGTCCGCTGGTGTGGGGAAAGCTGCATGTGCACATTAGGCAAAGCATGCCCACCAAGCCACACCCACCGAACCGGTGGTTAATTTGAATCCCACTACTGATCAGGTCCATGGTTGCCATGATAGTCTTGAACTCTTGAGTCATTTATGACTTTTCTCACACCTAGGAAAGGCAGACTAAAATCACCCAAGACCACCATCAACCCAGCCACAGCATTTGGCAACTCATGTAGAGAGAGAGACAGCTGCTCAGCAGAAAAGCTGGGACAATAGCAATGGTTGGTCCCAAATCTAACTTCACAAACAGTTGCGTATTTTACAAATGCAGGAGAGCTTCCAAATGACCAAAGCTACTCGCCTTCTCTTTCCCAAAACCTGAAGGACTCATTTTATTTACTGGCTCCCCAGGCTCCACTAATATATGATTAAATCATATATGATTTAATGAGGCAGAACCAAAATCATGTATGATTTAATGAGGCAGATCTGAGACTAACCCAACTATGAATAGCAGCAACTGAAGATTGGGGCCACCTAAGGCAGGGCTCCTATGACACAAGCAGAGTCCAAGCTCCAACCAGCTGTTTGCAGTGACTAGCAACTGATTTAATAAATAGATAATACTCAAGTAGCTCCTAACAAACAGCATTTTGGAGATACTCCTTCTCCAAGCAAATATAATAATCTTAGCTGTGTAAAACTTGGATTGGAATAGTGCCCCATTTTGAACTCTTTCTCTCCAAGGCATAATTGTGCAACATCTGAATAAAGGAGGGAGTACAAATTAAAAGAAGCAAAATTATGTTTATTAACCTTCTCAATTATCTCATAACACTCTTCCAGCTTTTGAGTTCTATCTTTCAAATTCGTGCTGGCTTCGTTATATACGTCCAGCCATTCCTGGTAAGAGTTTTCTGATAGGTCTGCATATGCGATGCACAAAGTCCTCAAACCTAGAAAAGGAAGTACAGAAGTTCAACCCAAACATCTAGAGAAGTTAGCTTAAACTTCAGACAGGAAAGCAATTATTAAGTAAATGAACAAACTTGATGCACCTGAAAACCCCAAACTGCCTTCACATACAGAAGCTGATTTTCAAACTTATTAGAGTAATACATTTGAGATTATAAATTATACACTCAAATGTATTTGGTGCAAAAAAATAATAATCCCCAAAAACAAGGAATACAGCTAGTCCGTGTTTAGCAATCACAATTGGGGCTGACAACTCAGTTGTTAACTTTTACTACATCATTTAAATTACAATGGTGCTTATGACCTTACTTTGACTTTCCTTTGCTTTACCAACCTGCTAAGGTAGGGGTATCAAACTCGATTTCATTGAGGGCTGCATCAGGGTTGTGTTTGACCTTGGGGAGCTGGGTGAGCATGGCTGGGTGAACATGGCCAGGGTGGGCATGGCCAGCTCGATGTCAGTCGTGTCAGGGGTGCCTGTGGTGGCCCGCCTGCTCTGCCAGCAAAAACAGAGCTTGGTAGGGCCGCAAGCTCCGTTTTCGCTGGCAGAGGCCCTGTGGGCTGGTTTTTTTCTGTTTCCAAGGTGGCCCCATGGGCCAGATCTAAGCACCCCTGTGGACCGGATCCGGCTCACGGGCCTTGAGTTTGACATCCTGTGCTAAAGTTACAAATGCAAGGGCAGGATGCTCTTTTTCATCCGCTGTGTAACTGTAAATGGTCAATAACGAGGCAGTTGCTAAATAAAGACTATCTGTCCACATTTCCTAAGGAAAGAACATACCAAGCAGATTTGGGCCCAGCATAACATTTGGCACTGCACAATGCAGTTTTATTTTTTGAAATGTGAATGCCACAGTTGTTAAGCAAGCCCATTGTTCACTATGGGCTGTTTTTCAGAAATAAATGCTTAAAAAAAACTGGAAATAAATGCTGGTTTCTGGCAAAACTGCTATAAATTGTGGTCATGTAACTGGGGCACAGGAAACAACCATAAATGTGGGCTGGTTGCCAAGCAGTCAAAATGTGGTCACATGACCAGTGGAAGGGTGTCGGCCATTGAAACTTCAAAACTGGGTTCTAAGTAGCTTTTGGGGACTCCATTATAACTTTAAACAGTTGCTAAGTGAATGGTTGTAAATCAAGGATTACCTGGTTGTAAGTCAAGGATTACCCATATTGTGAATGTAAGGCAGAGTATCCTGGTGTGAGATAAATATTTAGCTTCCCAGTTTCGCTAACTTGTAGCATGAACCCTCTTTTTTTTTTAATCATCACATGCTATTTGCCTTGATTTCACAGTAAATGACAGCCACAATAATCTGGAGAACAGCTTCTTCCTTTTGGAATATGGACAACCTGATTTTTACAGGATCATTGTCTGTATTCACAAACATTAGTGTAATTTATTTGTCTTCTATTGCCCATCGAGTATTAAAAAATGGGGAAAGTTGCCATACTAAACAGAAAGGCTATATTATGAGTATGCAAGTGTTCCTAAAACAAAGAAAAATAAAACTTTCAGGCAGAAGGAGATACAAGGCTCTTCCTGCAGTGCAGGGCCATTAAACATTTACTATATAAGAGAGCCCTCAGATCAATAAGTGATTGATATAAAAGATTGATGCCACATAACAAAACTCACTGCAGTAGCCACAGAGATTGACTCTTAAAGAAATCCAGGAAAAATATGGGCTGCATTGATGTAGTTTGCTCTAAAAAAAAGTATTTAAACATTTATAAAATGAGTATTACATGGACCATTTCTTCATCCATCAGTCTCATTATCAATTTCAGCCTTTCTGGCCCCAAAGTTTAAGAAAGTTAACATCTGTGGAGACCTAATAGCTTGAGACATATCATGTCTATTGCATTGCTTCACTCCAATAATCTTTTCTTTTTCACATTTTAAATAAAGTCTCAGTCCAGACAAAGTCCATTTTCAACAAGGCTTATTTCACCGCTGGCTTGAATAATACATGGAGGAATGAACTAAGCTGCATTTCAATATATCTTTTGCCTAGAGGCAAACATGAGTTTTAAAAGGCTGCAAATGTAATGAGTAACTGTAACTTTCTTCAACATTTTGTTTCTTTTGTGTCCCTGTTACGTTTTTCTGTCACACTAATTTTGCAACTTTATGAAATCTGGAATAGCAAAGACAATAGATGAGTTCAAGGCTATGATTTTAAGGATGGAAAGCGAGTTTGGACACTTAGGTTGTTTCTATGCATTTCTTGCTTTTGTACTTTCTGAATCAATGTGCCAACTGATAGGCCAATATTTGGATATCTGCAATCTGAAGAATTTAAAAATGTAGTTTTCCAGTTAAATGAATTTAAAAATATAGTTCTCCAGTTAAATATGGACATATCAGGGAATGGGTCACATCAATATATGTATTTTGTTAATATAAAATGAGCTTCACATTTATATAAACCAGATTAAAATACATAAATGTGCATAATATTAGGAAAAGTGCACACAAAAGTATACATATTGGGAAAACTGGCATAGAAATATGTATAAATTTAGGGTATGTATTTAATAGGTCAAATTGATTCAAAAGCTGAATGAATGAATGAATGAATGAATGAATGAATGAATATAAGATGGAGAAAGCTAAGTTTGACAAATTTGTGTTTTCTAACAAGGATGTCTCATTTATATCTTATTCGGTCTTAGAAAAGCAGGACTGGATAATATATGCTTATTCTTAACTCTGAAATTTCCCAAACTTTCTCATTTCATATGTTCTGAAACAGAATTTGTTTAGCTACAGAACAGCACACATTGATACTTGAGAAGAGCAATAATAAATCAATAAGCAAATATTTAGAGTGCTATAAATAAACAGTTCAATAAACAAGTATTTACCTTCTGTGGCAAAATATTCAAGATGACATAGAGTTTGCTCCATGTACTTTGAGTCTTTGGATAATCTCTCAAAAATGACATTATCCTGTCAACAAAAAATGTATATAAATAATTGCCATAATGATGCCTGCATTTCTTTTTTAGACATATATTCTGTCCATCTATAAGGGATAAAACTAATGAGGCACAGACCAGTAATATCCAATCTAACACAATCTTTGGCTAAATATGGATTCAATGTCTCTAACTCTTAAGATCAGGAAAAGAACAACCAAGAATTTATTAACTCAAAATGTAGGAAGAAAAAGACTAAGATTTAAAACCTGAGCTGACATATTAATATAAGATTTGAGTGTTCTGCTGTGAAGTAGCTATGACACCCCGCCCCCCCTTATATGCAACAAAACAACTTATCTAGCCATGTTGTGACTGTGAAGTTTCTTCTCTGGGTAATATCTAGCTGCAAAGCTGAGCTTCTGGAGAGTCACAATTTACCACCAATGAAAAGTCTGACATTATCCATGATAGCAAAGGTGGTTCAGATTTTTAAAATGTCAAACAGTGTGAAAAATGTTCTTCATTGTAAGGAAGTAGTAGCTCTTATGGATAATGATGAACTATGAATACATTGTCCAATCTGTAGGAGTGGAGATATAATACGACTTATGACGACAATTGTGCCCAACATTTCTCTTGTTAAATTAGACATTTGTTGAGTTTTGCCCCATTTTATGATTCACTGAACCGGTTGTTACACTGGTTGTATCACACTCCTGGGTGCGATGGGGGGCTGCGATGTCATCCCAGGGGGTCCACAAAACCTTCAAAAAAGTTATGATTTAAATCTTGAATGAAGTCTTAGTGGTCCATGGCCACAAAAGGTATTTAAAGAGGGTCCGTGGTGAAAAAAACATTAAGAACCACTGGCTTTTAAGCCCATTTTCCCCAGTTAGTTCATTCCAGATATTTTCATCCTAACATCTCAACATTCCACACTATATGGCTACTGAAACATTTGAGACATATAGAACGCACAATTTTCAATAGCAGTGCAAGTACTATTGTCATTAATATTTACACATGCCAAAGAAAATGGGTTACCACACAATTCTTTTGTCAATAGGCTGGAGATACTTACAGCTCCTTTGCAGTACAAACGTAGTTGACCATCTGGAGTCCGGACAATTACAGACATCCTCTTTCGATCACTGGGAATAAGACAAACATTCATTGTAATTTTTAGAAGTTGTTGTTGTTGCTAATGATTATTAAAGTTGCCATTAAGTCAGAGGTGGGCAACTATGGCCCCTTTATGACTTGTGGATTTCAACTCCCAAAATTCCTGAGCTAGCATGGCTTGCTCAGGAATTCTGGGAGTTGAAGTCCATAATTCATAAAAGGGCCATAGTTGCCCACCCCTGCATTAAGTGGTGGAAGATATTTATGGAATAATTTTGCCAGTATTTCATAAATGCAAATTGACAGTAATTTAGTCTGAGATTTGAGTAAGGATTAGTTAATAATGTCACAAAAAAGCAATAAAGAAGGCTTAGGAATTTCCAAAGTTGTAATAGTCCCAATGTATCTGTAAAATATGTTGGGGAAGGTTGACCTAGTGACTAACTTTACAGTGTACCAGACTATGATTTAGTTTGTTTAATAATGGCTTATCCTGTGGTGTAAAGCCAGTCTTTGAGTCAGTCCTCCTGGGAAATCAGACAGAAAACACGACATATGAGCTACATATATTTTATTGTATGGCTAGATCTTGCAAGTCTGAAGATAGAAACTTCCCACTGCCATTTTTAACTGTCAGATCAGTTAGAGTGGATCCTTCCCAAGTTTCTCTCTCTGACAATTAAGCCATCCTTCTTCTCTTATCTGATTATTTCCTAGGCAGCATCTCCTTCCCTCAGATCCAAACTCATCCACACATTCCATTACATGTGATTTATAAACTATGGTTTATAAATATTTAATATTAGAGAGAGCATTTTACCGAGGCAGCCATCGTTGTCGCCATCTTGGATTAACTTTCAATATGATTTATTTTAAAAAAAATGTCATAAATTATCTGTAATGTCAGGATGGATAGATAGATAGATAGATAGATAGATAGATAGATAGATAGATAGATAGATAGACAGACAGACAGACAGACAGACAGACAGACAGACAGACAGATTTTTTTATTTACTGGGGCCTTTGATTTAATCTTGGACAAGTCTTGGCAGTTTTCTTAGTAGAGTTTTTCAGAAGTGTCTTGCCATTGCCTTCTTTCTTGGTTTAAAGTGAATGACTGATCCAAGGTCCCAAAAGCTGGCTTTGTGCCTAAGGTGGAACTAGAACTCATGATCTCCTAGTTTCTAGCCTGATGTCTTAACTACAACAAACTTGCTTTCAGGTATACAACATAGCAGAGTATATCACAGCACGTGTGTGTGTGTGTGTGTGTGTGTGTGCAGCTTAATTACGGTGTAAACAGTTCTTGTATCTAGTTTTAGGAATGTACTTTTTAAATTAAATCACAACATACATACTGCAACTGCAACTTTTGGGAGTGGGACTTAAAGAAAGAAAATAACAAGTGAAAATTAAATCAAAATATCTCTATTTTTGTACAGGTAAAACTATATCAAGAATGAATTGAGATTCAGAAAGAAGGAAAGCCCACATTTTGGAAGTATTATTGTATAACAATGTGATGTGTCAACCATGTTTAGCACATGATTACCATTTTAGTACATAAAAAGGGAGTTTCATCGTTCCTATAATCTTCAAAAGGTAACAGATTTAACAGATTAACAGAGTTGGAAGGGACCTTGTAGGTTATCTGGACCAAGCAGGAGACCCTACATCCAGGGGTGGGATTCTACCAGTTCTGTCCACTTCTGTAGAACCGGTTGCTATGAAAAAGAGCAAACAGAGAGTATACATAGAACTGGTTCTATGTCTGCTGCTGTTTTGGCCCACCTGCCCGCCCGGGCTCTTACCTGACCTTTATTTCCTGCGTTTTCAACCACAGCTGCTTTGCGCGGCACAGCTGCGGTTGAAAAAGCAGGAAAAAAGGGCTTTTTAAAGCGCTGCGCACTTGCATGCAGCGCTGCTCAGCTGTCCGGGCAGCTCAGCAGATCGTAAATTGCACTTGCATGACTTGCACACGATGCAGAGCAACAGAACTGGTAGTTATACAGGTTGGATCCCATCCCTGCCTACATCATTTCTGACAAATGGCAGTCCAATCTCTTCTTGAAAGCCTCCATTTATGAAGCTCTCACAACTTCCGAAGGCAAGCTATTCCATTGCTTGATTGATCTCATTGTCAGAAAATTTTTCCTTATTTCCAGGTTGAATCTCTCCTTGATCAGTTTCCATCCATTATTCCTTGTCTGGCTTTTGGGTGCCTTGCTTGGAAAATAGCTTATTGACCCCTTCCTCTCTGTGGCAGCTCCTCAAATATTGGAACACTGCTATCATGTCTTCCCTGGTCCTTCTCTTCACTTCTCTTCAGATATTGTCGTTTCAACTCAAGTTATATGTCATATTTTCAGCAGCTGCCCTGATGCAGTATTTTTTACAATGTTGTGTGTGTGTGTGTGTGTGTGTACAACACTATTTAATTCAAAATCATGTAGTTTAAGTTGCCATGCAGCTAAGTCAGGTTTGACAGCAATGAACTATAAAGGCTAAATTGTCAGAGATGCTGAAGTTTATAATTTATTGGATATTTCTGCCCTGCTTCCCAAGATTGATACAGTGAAAAGTGAAAGAGTAATATTTTCAAAGGTTTCTGATACTGCCTTAATCACATTATCAACTCTTTTCCAGTTTTATCTATTCCCCCTTTTCTTTTCCCTCTTTTGAGAAAGAAAGAAGGGGAAAGATTAGTCATGGGATTTCCAACATGAAATGTAGGCCAATATTTAGATTTATCCAACTGCATGAGGAACAGAACAAGATTTTGCCTTGTATGGAACATCTGTCTCTAATTGCTGTAAAAATCAGAATTACTAAGAAATATCAGAAATAGCCTAGAACCATATTTCTAGCAACTGTGTTTATCATTTATAGCTATTCTAAAAAAGTAAGTAATATTGGAAGAAGGGAGAGAGAAAATTGTTTCTGTGCTATTAATTTGTTCTGAAATTCTCCAAGTGAAGTTCAGTAAGACTGACAGGCTGGTTATTTGCAGTAAGAAAATACTATATATACTTGCATATAAGCCAAACCTCAATTTTTTAACCAAAATACCATGAAAAACAAGCCACCTGTTGATAAGTTTGCATGTTTCATGATGTTTTGGTTAAAAAATTGACGGCTGGCTTATCCACAGAAGGGCTTATATGCAAGTATTATTTATTTGTTTGTTTAAACATGAAATATTGGTATTATATATTTTTAAAGTATTGCTATATATGTTCGCAGATAATTCAATCTGCAGATAGGACAAAGATTTGTTCTCAGTTCTATTACTTCTTTAATATTAACTATTACCTATTAGTTCTCAGTTCTGCCTATGAAAGGTAAATAATCCATTAATAGAGGTCAGGTAAAATCCCACTGAAACCTCTCCAGCTTATATTGCTGCCCTTCGAAGATTTCAAACCAAAGAAAATTCCAGTGAAATATAAGCTCAACAAATGAAATGAAACAAAGAAAATTTCTTTTAATTGCAGGACATTCCTAAGTGTTTCCCTCCTTTTACTTCTTGCAATTGCCATTAAAAACCAATTACCTTGAAAATTCCAATACGTTAAGGATCTCATATGTCTCTTCTGTTCCTAGCTGGGATCATAACAGAATAAGGCACACTTTAGTAAAAGAAAAACTAAAAATACACAAAGAACTGGAAGACAAGCATTGTTTTTAAATATCCATATTTTTTTAAAAAAATGTGAAAGTAGCTCCCTCTGCTGGGCACAACCATGTACTTATATTCTTAAGAACATGCCAAAATTGCCATCTCAGAATTAAAAATGCTGTATTGAAAATCGTTAAAATTTCTTAAAAGTTTTGTTACTCCATAAAGAAGATTATGATTGTCTACCTTTTTCTCAGTGCATCTAAAACTTCTTCCACTTTTTCTTGGTTGTGTTATTGTCAATGGTGGCTTAGGGTTGGCACTGTTTTCTTTTTAATCTTCACAGGCTGCCCAATCAGTAAGAGCCCAAGAGAAAACATAATTTCCTCAAGATACTTTTTGTTTGGATTTTATAAGAACCTGAGAGGCTACTATTGGAGAGATTACAATCCAATCCAAGGTAGAATATCCATGTTTGCATTTTGCCATCTCAAAAAATTAATATGACATCTGACATAAATGCTCAAGAAACATGGACATAAATGATTCAAGTGTAGCCTTTTAGTTGAGCATGCCAAAAGCACAATTTGGTAAGATTTCGTTATTTCAACTTCTCACTTTCCAACTGGCAGCGTTAAAAATTGTTTTCCATTCTGACTAAGAGTAGAATTGCTTTGCCAATTAACCAGTTAGATCAGTGTTCCTCAACTCTGGCAAACTTCAGGATGTGTGGACTTCAGCTCCCACAATTGCCCCAGAATTCCCCAGCCAGATGAGGAATTCTGGGAGTTGAAGTCCCCACATTTTAAAGTACTCACAGTTGAGAAACACTGAAATAGATGGATCTTCTCAGGGATATTTTGCCCTGTTTGCCCTATTTCTCTGCAATATTTCCAGAGCAGTCTTATAGAAAAATTTGGGAATGACCTCACAATACTTCCTTCCCACACACTCTTACCGCATCGATGATGACAGAACGTGGCGTCCTCCCAGTGAAAACATAGCCAAGTTTTTTTGCTCCTTTGACTAAAGCGCCTTCATCTGAGAAGAGAAAAAGTCTGCCATTACAAATTCAGGAATAGAGTTGGATTCTTTAAAAAAAAAAAAACACAATAAAAAGACAGTGCAGATCTGCCTTTATGAAAACATCATCCCATTCCCCAAACAGCTGCAGAAGATTTCCAAACATCTCAGGAGTCCACTCAGATCAGAGGTTCTTTAACAGAAATCTGCCAGGAATTGTTGTGGTTCGCCGGTAGCCTGTGCAGAATTGGACAGTGATTGTGGCAGCGGGAATTGGACAGTGGGGAAGAAAGGAGATCAGTCCAGGAATCTGGAGAGGACTCGGATGAGGGTCCTGCTTCCAATGCAGAGATGGGGCCAGGACCATCTAGTAGTGGGGTGCTGCCTCTGGAGCCTTCGGAGTCTGGCAGCAGCGAGGCAGAGGACCCAGGGGAGCCTGTTCCCAGGGCACGTGTGCACAGAGCTGCTAGAAGGTGAGAGCAGTTGAAACAAAAGGGGTGACGCGGGAGCAAGGCTGGGAGGTGATTGCCCCTCCCATAAGGTATAAAGGACAGGCAAAGATAACGAAACCTTTGCAGGAAGCAAAGTCGTTCGTTCGGTTCAGATGCATTTTTGAAGTTCTTTGTACTTCGGTTGGTTTTTTTTCTAGTTCATTTGACACTTCTGTTATTGGCATCATTTCATAGGAAAGAAAGGTGGGTGCTTATCTCGAGGGACTGTTTGAGATTCATTACCGGTTGGGAATGAAAATAATTCCCAGCTCTGCAATAAAACAAGACTTGTTTTTAAAATAACCGTGTACGTAATTTTGGTCTCAGAAACCTCGGTCAGTAATGTTAGGCAACCTTCTTTGAAAGGCAACCTGAGTTCATTATTGTCATCATGTCTGCAATGGGTAGTCCTTAAATTTTTCATCGACAGGAGACTTGAAAAACCTTCAGGAAATCCCACAGTCAGGATGTTTCCAGGCAGACGATACAGCACTGACACAACCCCAGTCAGCCCCAGAAGAACCCCTTCACAGTTTTGCAAAAATCTGAGATTGCAAACATCAAACTAGGTAATACTGTTAAGCCCTTCATTTCAAAAATGCTGGAAACGCTCCCATATATACGAGTTACGACCACAATTGAGCCCAAATTGGTATGGTGCTAAGTGAAACGTTTGTTAAGTGAGTTTTTTTTCCATTTTACGACCCTTCTGTGCCACAGTTGTTAAGTGAATCACTGCAGTTGTTAAGTTAGTAACACAGTTGTTAAGTGAATCTGGCTTCCCCGTTGCCTTTGCTGGTCAGAGGATTACAAATTGTGATCACATGACCCCAGGACTCTGTAACCGTCATAACTATGAACTACTTGCCGAGCATCTGAGTTTTGATCATGTGACCATGGGAATGCTGCAACGGTCATAAGTGTGAAAAACAATCTTAAGTCACTTGCTTCAGCGCCATTGTAACTTTGAAAGGTCACTAAATGAACTGCTGTAAGTTGAGGACTACCTGTAATCTAGTTGATTGGTTTATTTTTAAAAACATTTCTGTATCACTTTAAAAGCAATTCTGTATCACATCTGTACCATTTCTGTACCACTCTTAGCAACTTTTGAGCAAAATAGACCACACATTAAAATAGTTCAAAAGCATCCAATAAAATCAAACTCTTTCAACATCAATGAAATATAATCCTAATATCATATTGCTTTAGAGCAGGTGTGTCCAACCTTGGCAACTTTAAGACTTGTGGACTTCAACTCCCAGAATTGCTGGCTGAGGAATTTTGGGAGTTGAAGTCCACAAGTCTTAAAGTTGCCAAGGTTGGACACCCCTGCTTTAGAGTGTTGTAGAGATAATATTGGGACAAAGAGGTAAATCTAAGAAGAAGAGAAAAACTAAGGTGACCTTTTTCATCTAATTCCAAACAGAATGCCCCCCAAAAAATCTACCTCTTTTCAGCAAATGTGAAATCTCTGATTCAGACAAAAATTACTGTGGTTTCTTTTAGGCGGGGTGGAGGACCAAGTTCAACAAAATAACTTATTCAGAGCTATCTATTTCTCAGCCCTATTTTTCTTTGTACTTGTCTTGCCCCCTGTGCAATCCTCCTGTTGCCACAGAACTGGACAATGTCCAGGAAACCAGTCATAGGCCTGAAGCTTCAGCTACAAAGAATACCTTATTATTCTCTATCTGCATTGACCCCAATGTTCTTATTCCTAACATTAGACTGCAGGAAGCTCCTGGCCTTCACTCTAATAACTCTAGTCTAGAGATCATAACTCATGGCAACTTTAAGACTTGTGGGTGTCAATTCCCAGAATTCCCTATGCTGGCTGGGGAATTTTGAGAATTGAAGTCCACAAATTTTAAAGTTGCCAAGGTTGGATACTGCTGCTCTAAATCAGGGGTGTCAAACTCAGTTTCATTGAAGGCCACATCAGGGTTGTGTTTGACCTCAGGCGGGCGGGCAGAGGAATGGCTGGGATAGGCATGGCCAGCTGGACATCTCCTGTGTCGGGGGCACCTGTGGTACCCCAGGTTTTCAGCTGCAATGGCTTCCTGCAGCCCTCTGCCAGCGAAAATGGAGCTCACCCCCCCCAAGCTCTGTTTTCGCTGGCAGAGGCACCGAGAGCTGGTCCACTGTTTCCAGGGTAGCCCCACAAGCCAGATCTAAGCACCCCTGTGGACCTTGAGTTTGATACCCCTGCTCTAGATGGTGTATGTATGAATGTGGGTACAGTAAATATAAATCCAACACAATCTAGATAAGTTTCCCTCAGTCCCTTGTCCCTTTCAATGGCTCTTTGTTTCAATGGAAGGGTCAGTAACTAACCTGGAGAGGAGGCCTGGTAGATGATGGTGTTTTCATGTCTTTCTGGAACAACCGTGTGACACACAGCCAGCAGAGTGAGGAATTCTTTGATGTGCATAGCTGTGGGCTGAAATGCAAGGGTCATGTTAGTCCAATGAACAGGACCTGTGACGTTGTGGAAAAAAAGTTCAATTTTCTGTTAGAGGCAGAGAGCAAATAAAGTGGCTGGATGCTACTTCACCTCTGTTATTTTTCAAAACGATAATTACATTAGACAGCTTATTGGATTTTAGCCAAGTAAAATCCAATAAGCTGCATAATATAATTATCTAAGGTAATAAGGTAAGAACAGCTTTGCCAGGTGAGATCAATCATCCTCTTTGTTTCTTGCCTTCTCTTGCCATCATTGTTCATATGAAAAGAATATCACCTAACCTCCTGATACATGCCCTTAGCACAAGCTTGGTCTGATAACACAAAGCAATCTACTTTTTCCAGCAAAGTCAGGCCTGGAGAGACATCCCATAATTTCCCTACATTACAGTTAAATCAATTATTTAGTTTGCTTTTGTCTATGTTCACAATTTACAATAGATCCCATCCACCCAATTTTCTGAGAACAATGAGGGCAATTTTATCACATCAGCTCTTCTACAAAGCTGCTATTCACCCTTTGATGGACAATCAGCAGTGATGCCCTATTTATTTTACTGCTGAATATCAAACCATATGGTTTAAACCATTAGCTCAGAGTTATCTCTAAGTACCAGCCACAGAAAGAGGAATGGACAGAAGATTCATTCATAATCCCACCCTACCCCCAAAAAAGTGATAAGTCACATGGTTTCCCTCTAAGCTATCCAATAAGCACATTAGTCAACACACTAAGCCTGGCTTAAGGCAAATCACAGCTACAATACTTATACCCAGAGAGGGCATTAGGTTATATAGCATATCACAGCCAAATGCTATTTCCTGGCCACCATCTCTATCAACCAGAATCCATGTCATATTTGCACCTGCTCTTTTCCCCACTCTCTTGATTTTTTAAATTTCATTTCCCTGCACACTGTACTTAGGAAAGTGAAAACAAAGGACCATGGAAAAATACCACTGCTGCACCCAGAGAAGCACCATTCCTGGCCATTCGGATTCTTGTTTCTAGGTCTAGAGACCAGAAGGAGAAGCCAAAAGTCTTACTTCAAGGTAGAAGACACAGAGGCCATGGCCAAGGTAAACTGAGCTATTGTAAACTAAGAGCATAGTTGTGATAAAAGTACTTTCAATTAACCACAAGTTAACCCATGATTCCCAGTTAGTACATATTGCACTAGGGCAAACTATGCCATAGTTTAGAGTGTGGTGTGATCTAGATCAGGGTGTCAAACTCAAGGCCCATGGGGCAGATCCGGATCTAGGGTGGCCCGTGAGGCCACTGCCCTGGAAGCAGCGAAGGACTGGCCCATAGTGCCTCTGCCAGCGAAAACAGGCTCCCAATCTCTGTTTTCGGCTGGGACAGCCTTCTGCAGCCCTCTGCCAGCTCTGTTTTCACTGGCAGAAGGTTGCAGGAGGCCGTCCCAGCTAAAAACGGAGTTTGGGAACCCGTTTTTCACTGGCAGAGCACTCAGGCCACCACAGGTGTCCCTGACACAAGTGACGTCGAGCTGGCCACGCCCATCCTGACCACGCCCACCCCGGCCCCCCAAGGTCAAACACAACCCTGATGAGGCCCTCAATGAAATGAGTTTGACACCCCTGGTCTAGATCATAAAGGAAGGCTATTGAGGCCACAAATGAATAGTTCATACCCAAGTGTTTTATGACTGCAACAAATATTTTAGCAATAGTTCATGGGAAAATTCTGAAGAATGGCCTTACGTGATCAGCCTCAATGTTCTGCAGCAGTCTTGGATCATCAAATTCACAAGATTCACTAATAGGAGGCGGAAGCCGGCTAAGAATATAATAAAAAGGGTGATAAGATTCCTGAAGAGCTGCATTTCTATTAAGTGCATATATTATGGTTTGGAAATGACGAGTTCAATAATCAAATGCAGATAGTTCTCGACTTATGACTACAATTGAGCTCAACATTTCTGTTGTGATTTTTGCCCCATTTTACAACATTTCTGGCCACAGTTGTTAAGTGAATCACTGCGGTTGATCAGTTAGTATCCCAGTTATTAAATGAATCTGGCTTCCCCCATTGACTTTGCTTGACAGAAGGTTGCAAAAGGGGATCAAATGATCCTGGGATGCTGCAACGGTCATAAGAATGAACCAGTTGCCAAACATCTGAATTTTGATCACATGATGATACAATGGTCATAATTGTGAAAAACGGTCATAAGTCACTTTTTTCAGTGCCGTTGTAACTTTGAACAGACACTAAATGAACTGTTGTAAGTCGAAGACTGCCTGTACCAAATACATTTATCTGTTTTTTTTTTAATCAGAAGAGTAATTCCAATGATAATCAAACTTTCCTACTGATACAGCCTTTTGTTTTCAGAATTATCTCCTGTTTCACTCCATGGCATGTTTCATTGCATTTATTTGTTTCTTTATCTACTCTGCTTTCCAGTTAGGTTGAACTCAAACCCCTATTTTTATTTTATTCATTTTGTTAAGAAGATTTATACAGCCACCCAACTCAGTATCTAAGCCAGCATGTGGGATTCTGAGAATTGAAAATAAACACACCAGAAGTCCTTAAGTCAGGGGAGGGTATCATAAAAGAATACGGTAAAGGTAAAGGTTCCCTTCGCACATACGTGCTAGTCGTTTCCGGCTCTAGGGGGCAGTGCTCATCTCCGTTACAAAGCCGAAGAGCCTGCGCTATCCAAAGACATCTCCATGGTCATGTGGCCGGCATGACTAAACGCCAAAGGCACATGGACTACCGTTACCTTTCCACCAAAGTGGCCCTTATTTTTCTACTTGCATTTTTACATGCTTTCGAACTGCTAGATTGGCAGAAGCTGGGACAAGTAATGGGAGCTCACTCCATTATGTGGTGCTAGGGATTTGAACCGCCGCTCTGCCGACCCTTCTTATCGACAAGCTCAGTGTCTTAGCCACTGAGCCATTGCGTCCCTCCATAAAAGAATACAAGACCTCTTTTTTTCTCCAGGGCCCCTCCTGTATGTATGTTTTCCTATTTTTCAACCCCCCAAAGTCCCCAAGAGTACCTCTCCCCAAAGTGCCCAATCTTGAGCCATCTTACAGGCCTACAATTACAACAATTACACATTACCAGTACCCAATATTTATTTACCTGAAATCTTCTGATGAACATTCTCTTGCCAGTTCTGGGAAGTGACTAAACAGGGGAAAAAATGAAATATAAACTGATGGTATGCCTATCCCAATTAGAAGGAAGCTACTGCTGAATAAATGATATGTCACTCTCCAAAGATGCTTCTTCCATGCAAGTACAAGAGAATCAATTGCAGGCATGCGTACAACATTCTATAGAATCAAACTTTTGCTTCTGCATAGAAATTGGACTAATGTTACAATTCTGTGCCTACTGGCTACAATTAATGTGACTTCCTTCTTCTTTTTTTAATAAAGTTTTATTTGGGTTTTCACACACAAAATACAAGTAAAACATCTTTTTTGAAAATAGCATGGTCCCGGGTTGAACTTCTTTATACAGACACAAAACTCAATTTCTTCTTTTTGTATTCTATTCCATATCTTATACTATTTTACATTTTCTATATAGTTTTTCCCCTCTTTTAATTTTCTCAATTTTAGTTTGATGATCTCATCTCAATTCAAATCATTATATTTATACTTTCGTCTGTTCTGTTTCAATTTCATATTATCTTTTCTCATTAAACAAATTTTCTCCTGTAGTTACTAATTGGAGTATGACACCTTTATATCTTTAAATTACCTCCATTCAACTCTTATTTAAACTTCAATATATACCTTAAGTTTATGACTTTCAATATAATACATAATACATAACTTCCAATCGAATTCTGCTTGGCACATTCTTATAATACACACTATATTCTTTAAAAAAAAAAAAGAAAGATTGTAAATATATGTAATTATAAACCCTCATTCCATTCCAGTTCAGTTCTATCAATGATAATCATTAAAATCTTAACATCTTTAACACTTCTTTTCAATTAAATATCATACTTCCTTAAAAACACATATAATCTTCATAATTAATTTTTCCCTTATTTCTCTTCACATATGTTTTATAAATCATTAAATATACCTTTTGTTACATTTATTTATTGACAAGCATTCCACTGAATTACGATAGCTATTTTATCAGACATTTTAATCATACATTGTTTCATATTTTCTAAAATTATTTCTGCTTCTAATATAACCATACTATCTTATGTACCTTTGCAGAATCCCTTTTTCCATTAAGTTTTCACCCATTATCTCTAAATAGGCCCTGTTTCTCTATATTTTGCTTCTGTCCTTTATAACTTCTTTTCCTTTCTTTCTTCCCTCTCATCTTCTCCCTCCCCTTTTTACCCCCTGTCTCTCTAGTTCTAATTCTCTTTTCTGCATTTCCCTCTTCTGTTGCTTTCTGATTTTATACTTATTTTTCACTCTTTTTTTTTTTTGGAGTTGTTTTTCCCAATCTTAAACTTTCCATTCTCTTTCCCCCCCTTTCCTTTCCCCTTTTTTCTAAGATTACTTGTTCATTAAAGATGGCTTCTTCTTTGTCGCAATCTTCTTGTTCTGCAGGCATTTCTTGTTGTTTCTCATAATCCAAAATCTCCATTTCTAAAAACTGAAATACGAAGCCAAAAGAACCTCTCCCTTCTTGTGCATCTTCTTTGTACTTTTTAAGTTCCATTTTCAGTTCTTCTAAAAGTGGAGCCATTTTAAACAGTTTTAAACAACCACCCGATTGATTTTAGTCATTCAAAACAATAACCAAGAATCCAGAAATCATCAAGTAATCCAAATAGTCCCGAGTTATATCTTCTTATTTCTTTTTTGACTTTCTCTTCCTGGGGTTTTTGTTGCGATATTTCAGTTAGAATGTATCTTTTGGAAGTCTTGTTGAGATTTTGCTGTAAGTTCTTTTTTAATTCCAGGCAGTCTCCTCCCTTCCAGATCCTGCCCTTTTATTCTTTTTCTCTCCTTTCCTGTTTTCAAAAGCTTTTAATTATCCAGAAATCTTTATTATCCCTTTGACTTTTTATTTTCAGCATTAAATGCCTATTGATGTCAAAGTGGATTTTTTCCCCAATTTCTTGCTTAAGTCCCTTAGCTGTCAGTATAGGAAAAGGAGAAAACCAAATCTTTTCCCTTTTCTCTCTCCTTCGCAGCTTAAAAATCTTCTTAGGGAACAATGTTATTATTTTTTAACAGTTTCAATTCCAGGGTACCTTATCTGTTGCTTTTGCTGTTTGACCCGGTCAACCAAAACTTTATCTTCTTATCTTCCTCCTGCACATTCTTTTCCGGTCGAGTTCTTCTTTGTGGTGGCCATTTCTGACCACCTTCAGGAAAGGGAGTAATGGCCAGCTGGGGAGGAGAGATGCAGCTCTCCTCAACCCTGCTGGCAGTCTCTCCCCTCTTCACCACCTCTACGGGGTGGCTTAGCCCCGAAACCAGCCGGCTCGGGGCGCTCCAGCGGCAAGCACGGATCGAAGCCTCGCAGAGATGAGGTTTCGGTCTGTCGCTGAAGAAGCTCAAACCGAAAGTCCCAATGTGACTTCCTTCTTGAAAATTGCTCAGAATTGCAGCTACAACATACAGTAGGTAGTACTCGACTTACCACCACAATAAAGACTGGAAAATTTATCATTAATCAATGCAGTCAATAAGTAGCAGAATAACAGAGTTGGAAGGGACCTTAGAGGTCTTCTAGTCCAACCCCCTGCTGAGGCAGGAAACCCTATACCATTTCAGACAAAGGGTTATCCAATCTCTTCTTTAAAACTTTCAGTGTTGGAGCATCCACAACTTCTGGAGGCAAGTTGTTCCACTGATTAATTGTTCTAACTGTCAGGAAATTTCCCCTTAGTTCTAGGTTGCTTCTCTCCTTGATTAGTTTCCATCCATTGCTTCTTGTCCTGCCTTCAGGTGCTTTGGAGAATAAGTTGACTCCCTCTTCTTTGTCCCTTAGATATCAGAACACTGCTATCATGTCCTTCTTTTTATTAAAGTAGACATACCCAATTCCAGCAACCAGTGTTTATATGCTTTAGCCTCTATCCCCTAATCATCTTTGTTGCTCTTCTCTGCACTCTTTTTAGAGTCTCAACATCTTTTTAAAATTGTGGTGACCAAAACTGGATGCAGTATTCCAAGTGTGGTTTTTCCAAGCCATGACAAAGAGGCATTAACAATTCATGTGATCTTGATTCTACTGTTTATGCAGCCTAGAACTGTGTTGACTTTTTTGGCTGCTGCAGCACACTGCTGGCTGATATTTAAGTGATTGTCCACTAGGACTCCAAGAGCCCCCTCACAATTACTACTATTGAGCCAGGTGTCACCTATTCTATACCTGTGCATAAGTGAGGCATCATGAAACTGCACCTGATTTTACAACCTTTTTTGCCATGGTTGTTAAGTGAATCACAGTGATCATTAAGCAAGACATCGTGTAACCACAACTTGAGATTCTGCCTGCTGGATTCCTTTGGCTGTGCTTGTTGTAAGCTGGCTGGGGGCGCTGCAAATGGTGCACATGTGACCATGGGATGCTGCAACTATCACACATGAGTGATGTTTGCAGGTGCCCAAATCACAATCATGTGTCTCCAGTGAATGCTATGATGGTCAAAAGTAAGTGGACCAGTTGTAAGTCACTTTTTTTCAACATCATTTTGTAATTTTGAATGTTTGTTAAATAATTGTAAGTTGAGAACTATCTATGATACATCCAGCAGAATTGAGGGGAGTTAAGGTTCTGAAAATGCAGGAGTAACATCAACTCTCTACCTGGTATTGCACATTAGCTAAAACATGATCCTATGACTATACAGTGTCACAGTATGCGTACAAACCTAGTGGTGCATTTCACTTTTGTGTGTTATGTAAACTCAAATGGATGAATTCAGAAAACAATGAAGGCAGGTGTTAACTTGTTGTATTAATGTGACCAAAGTAGCCTCTGCTGCCTATTTTTTGCACATCTAACGAAAGAAAAGCAATTCTATGCAAACAATTTTGTATGCATTATATTGTTTCAAACTGTATTCTATGTTTGTACTTCCACCTAACAATACACCCAGGCTAACAATTTTGGAACCTCTGAGGCCTTTAGACATCTTAATTTCAGCAAATGGAGAAATTGTATTTGTTCTTTGGTGGGAGTAGGTAGATTTTGCTACTTTAAAGTATGAAATTATTGATCTCCTGGGTCCAAAATTAACAATGTTGTAAGTAAAATGAAAACTACTAGAAACCTATAGAATTACAATCCCACACACACAATGTAAGACAATATCAATCTAATAAAAATGATCCCTTAAGCTAATACAGCAAATAAAAGCATGGTACATACCCATATGTTACTCCAGCAATACTACATTTCTTAAAATTCATAATATTGCATGTTAAGGTGCCTGTTTTATCAGAGAATAGATATTTAACCTAGGAGACAAATAATATATACTATTATGAACAAAACAAAGTAGATCTTTGAGAAAACTGGAAATTAAAGCAGTTCTAAAGTGTATTGTTATAATGTTTAATGGAGCCCTGTCTGAGATACGTGGACAAACATACAATGAGGCCTTGATTGATTTAACTACTGTTTAACGCACTTTCCCAAACAGGCCTTTCAGACTTGTCAAGTATCCAAATCCCATAATTCCCTGTCAATGTGACTAGATTGGCTGATTCTGGGAAATGCCATCAACACATATCAATATATTCCAAATACAGGTTGGGAAAAGCTTAGTGACTAGTTCTTCAACTAAATGTGCACCTAAGTTATCTTTTGCAAAATGTACAGCAACTTATCTCGGTATATAAGAGTTTAGTATACAACTGTACAGAAGTGAGTCATACATTTGACTGAGAGCACCAGAGGCAGGATGATACACAGATTTTGAACTAAATATACAGTCTAATGAATAAGAACAAGACTCCCTTGTTAGGTTGCTGAATGAAAGTCAGGAAAGACTCAGGTTTAAAATTAACCCCATCAGTCTTTTTCTCACAGGAATTAATTCTGTGTAAATTAAAGCAGAATCTATTATTCAGACTGTTTTTGTCTTTCTAGGTTCACAACCTTGAATTTTGCTTCAAATTTATCGAAGGAGATAAAAAATAAAATAAGGTAGATGCATTACTTTTGTGAAATGAATAACTGGTGTAAGAAATCATATAGTTTCCCTGAAAAATGCCACATGAAAAATTAAAAGGCATTGAGATAATGAAGACTTGTTCAAATAGATATTAAGCTTCGTATAAAGAATCTAAAGTAGACTTAAGTCCAACTAACTGTTTTATAGTCAGTAGTGTCATTAATTTACCAAGCTATATGAAAACAACCCCAATTCTCATTAGATAAATGCCTACTGGAATATGCGATGCAGAAAGGGACTAGGTATAGCTCAATCACATAACTGGTAAGAGCCAATAATATGGGTTGATGAAAAGTTTAGTTAAGAACTGGAAAGTCACAGATTTCCCCACTCTTATTACAAGCTATGCCTGGATTAATCTTACAAATTGCTATTAAAAAATGAGATGCCTGCAAATTTATCTCAAACTGATTCATGGATCAGCCCCTATTTGTTATGGTGCCGTCCTTTATCCTTACCTGGCCAAGTTCCTCATTAAGATTTGAAGTTCTCGCCATTGCAGGTGTATCAGTTTCAGTATAATACATATCTATGTCCTGAAAACAAGCAAAAAACCATAATCCTTGAATGCTAGTTTTATACTGTTCTGTTTATAATGTGTACATGATAATTATTTTTTTAAACTTAGTCATTTATAAATGAAAAGAGACAAAAAAGACAAAAATAACTGGTACAAGAATACAATACCAAGATGGTACTCAGCGTATCTCTGATTAGAAAGTAGAAAACATTGAAATCTCTTTTAATCAAAATCCCTGAAACCAAGACATACTTCCTGACACCAAACTGTACCATAGATTGTGATGGGTCAAATGACACATTTGTTTCTTAACCAATCAGAGTCATTCAAATGTTGTGTATTTCAATCAAGACTAAAACCATTTTTGTGCAATTTCTGCATATTTTAACCAGTTTCAACCTGGTTCAGCAAATTATAATTAGAAGGAAAGACAGTAAGCTGCCTGCCCCAGGCCCTTAAATTCAAGAAATCTGTCTTTATTTTGCATATTCATTGTTAACCCCCAAAAAAACTATACTTATTTTTACTTATTAAAATTTCTATTTCAGGTTCTCCCTCCAATTTAAGAATCACAATGGATAGGGAGATATGAATGCTACATTTTTACAAATTTTACTACTATTAAAAGTCTAATAACTTAATATCCATTTGTCTCTCATTGTTGTGCTGTTAAACTAAGTTGCATTTAATTGTACATACCCAATTTATAAAAAGAGCCTGAGTAAACTTCACAACTTCCAGAGTCACCAGTAGACTGATGGGAATGAGGTTGTTGTACAAGATTATAAAGGTCAGCAGATTATATCCAAAATTAGTGGATCGGACTTCTGCAGGTTAAAACAGACACAGGCAGAGGAAGTTAGAGAAAGAGAAGATATATTGGCTGCACACATATGATTGTGTAATCCCCAAAGAAGTGGAACACACAGATTGGGAAACAGTGCTATCAATTCATGTGACAAAAAGGAATGCTAAGAAACAAGAAATCACAAAGCTTTCACTATTGACCTTGCAGTTATATGAACTAACAATTTCATGTGAAGCTTTTTAATATATCGCTACTAAGGTCCAAAAACAGTAAAATACTAATATTTGTATATTGCAGTCAGGGCTGGACTGAACAGCCTGTCATTTACTTAAAATACCAGATAAACCATGACAACTAAAACAGGGGAGAATATGGAGTGTATATCTCATTTCTGATTCAGTTCATCCTGAGATTCAATTGGGTTCATGTTGACACAATATAAAACCATTTTTCACTCAAAAGATAAACCAATATCACTCCAATCAAGATTATTCAGTGAACATACAGTATCAGATAAGATCCTCCACCACTACCAATGGCACTCAAATGATGCTTGTTTCTACAGATATTTCAGCATTCAGCACAGATGCCTTCAGCTTCAAAAGCTTCAGAAAACATTTGTCTGAAATGGTGTTGGGACTCCTACTTGACCAGGGGGTTGGACTAGGAGACCTCTAAGGTCTCTTCCAACTCTGTTATTCTGTTTTTCTACTCTACTTCATGCAAAAAGTTGCAAACTTACATGCAGCTCATCACTCTGCTTTATGGAGCTTTTCTCCTGCAGAGGAGAAAACTACACCTGGTTATCTGCAGAGGATGGTACAACTGAGGGATTTTCGTGGATTGTTTGGTCTTTTCCAACTCACAAAATGCCTTTATGGGGTGATTTAATTTTACTATCCAAACTGGGTGGGAAAATTTAGGCTATGGAGCAGGGAGAACAGCTGGGGAGAAGAGTTTATCCAATTCAGAATAAAAAAAGATATTTATAGAGGGAATGTGGAAACTGTAGCTGTGGACTGAGAATTGTGCAGCATGCTTCTAGCCCAAAGTGCTTAACACAGGAAGTGATGGTATATAGGTTTATAACTGGTATACTGCTAAAAGGCAGAGATCTATCTCCCATTCCATAACCCATATACTGGAAGAGGTGGGAGAGTTAAGACAAGTTGAAACAACTTTTTCACATAACACAGAGTTACATTGTGGAATTAACACTGGGATGTTTAAACTAATATACTGAGGCTCAGATTACTATTAACCATGATGGCCCTAAACTTCCTTCACAATCACAAGTAATAAATGTAACATGCCGAGAAGCAGAGCTGGAAGAGAGTGAATTTCCATTAAAGGACGTTCTGTAGGTTCTTCCATTAAACACAACATTAGACTATCTAGATTTTGGTTTGATCAGCTGCAGGTAGAAACTGCAGATGTTACCAGAACGATCACTTTGATCATGCATATATAGTTACAAAGCGAACACGACAGTTTGATTCCCTTTGGCTCTCTTTTCATGAACTTGTTTCATTGCCTCCTTTAAATATATCTAGGTTCCATAGTTAAGAAATGTATTGTCCTTATCTCCCCTCTCCTTTTCTTTTGCTTTGGTTTAATTTTGGCAGGATGTACCCTTACCCAGAAGGGGGGGAAAAGAGCAGCTCTGTTATGATGTTATGTTATAAACATTACACCTATTTGAAGCTAGCCCGGCTAGCAGCAGTTCTATAGCGGCTGAGACCCACTGTTGTCTTTCCCAAAGTGATTGTATCCAGACAACGAGTGACTGACCTGAAACAGCAGATGACACAGCAGAGCATACAACGAACAGTGCCTATCACAACCAATAAGACATTTTGTCTCATTACAGAAAAGGTATTCATTTATTGCTATTGTCTGCATCACAAAAGCTTACCATACTCTATTCAGTCTTCCCATGAAATATAATCAGGAAGAGCTGCAAATCATTTTGTGTGGGCTTTGTGTCCACATATTGACGTTTAAGACTCTGCTAACTCCTTTGTGTTAAATCTGAGGTAAGCTGGCCAAGGACCAGGATAGAAAGCCAAGGAATCACTGAGGGAAAGGAGACACACTGCCCCCTTTGTCAATATAGCAAGAGGTAGACAAGAGTGGAGGTATTGTGAAAGTCCACAGTCTACTCTGAATATCTTATTTAAAGTGTGGCAGGGTACAACTTCATAGTCTGCCTGTTTTGGAAACTGTTTTATGACAAGTTCATATCCCCTGAGAGATAGTGTAGCTTGGTGTAGTGATTAAGGCGACAGGCTAGAAACTGGGAGACTGTGATTTCTAGTCTTACCTTAACACAAAGGCAACTGGGTATTTTGGGCCAGTTGTTCTCTCTCAGCCCTAAGAAGGAGGAAATAGTGAACTATTTCTGAAATCTTTCCAAGAAAACTATAGGGACTTGTCCAGGCAATTGTTAGGGATCAACATTGACTTACACACACACACTGCCCTGATTGGGACAGTTTATAAGTATCCTGCCACAACACATATACCCACCTTTACAAAAGCCACACCCTTCTGACAGCCATTTTGAGAACAGGATAGTTGCTCCCCCCATGGTAGACATTTTCATAAAGCATTAAAAATACCAACTGGGACCTCTGCTTTATTTTGTTAGTGAGATTCCTTCCTATTCTTTCCAACTAATTGAAAACTGCCTCCATACTGACTGAAGCTATATTTGCTCTGAAACACTCATTCTTTTCTAATTTTTTTCTTAAATCAAGTAATGGCTATCATGTTTCAGGCCTCTTCTATGCAACATCCCTACTACATTTAAAATGAGAAGATAAACCAGTACTATGCCAAAATGAAACCAAACTCAACTCTGCTCTGACTGCACATGTAACTCTTTACACTCTGATCAAATTAGACAACACAATGAGTGCAGGTGTTTTTCTTTGGCACAAACCCATAGCTAGTTTTTTGGGGACTAAAAAAAACAGAACAATAAGAGGGATGCAATACACCAAATTGTAAATGAATGGGGTTTTGGAGATCCAGATCATGTTTACCATTTACAAGATGGGGAAAGTAAGGCAGCTGGTTTGCACTAAACTTCAGGTGCTTTTTGGTGGGTGCATCCATTTGAAGAACATTCACTTTCTTAATTTTAAAATGATGTTTTTGATTTCAAGATAAGAGCATATTTATGCACATCCAGTCTTTGCTCACCATTGGAATCAAAGTACCAAATGACTTCTCCATGTGTTCTGTTCCACAGTAAGGCACCCACAGAACTCACTAAAGCCATGACGAGAAGGATGCAAAACAAAATGAGAATCTGCATATTGGTAACTTTATCTACATTTGATCTCTTCAGTGGAGCTTTGGTTGAATTCTGAAAAGGATCAGCCACAGAATTGCAATGATTAATTGTGCTCACAAAAAAGAATAATAAAAACAAGATGAAATTACAGCCAGACATTATGAAAGACTCACATCCATTATTAAAAACAGAAGCCCTGTTTCTCTTTATCCTTTCCACCCATAACAGCTATCAATTTAAAACACAGAATGCCACCTGCTTTGCACTAGTAGCCAGTCTTCTCCAATCCAGTGACTTCCAGGTGTGTTGTACCAGATAGTTCAACACATCTGGGTAGCATCAAACTGGGGAAAGTTGAAATAGACATACTAAGGGAGAGAAGACTGTTCACACAACACACCTAACCAGATCAGTTGCAGACCTTCTGGTTGCATTTCCACAACTGCCAATCTTTGTTGTTTTTTATTGCTTAGCTTGTACTGCAAAGCCAACCTGTTTGTGGTTCACTATTTATTGTGGAAATGTGGACAGTAGATTAATTCATTAACCAATGAAGTATCTTCTGGAATGCAGTTCATGAGATGAAGGTGATTATGCATCCCTGCTGAATAGCATTCTGTAAGTAGTAGCAGAATGAACAGGAACTCCTTTAACTAAAGGCAGAAGTCTTCAAACTTGACAGCTCTTAGACTTGTGGACTTCAACTCCCAGAATTCTTCCTCCAGTCATGTTAGCTCAGGAATTCTGGGAGTTACAGTCCACAAGTCTTCAAGTTGCCACATTTGAAGACCCTTGACTAAAGGAGATAACTAAAGACCTTGCTGTAATTGGAAACACAGTCCCTAATTATTTTAACATTTTAACTATAGCTTGCCATTTACTAGCCAGTCTGTTAAGATTACCTATCTATAACTCTGTGTGCACATACCTACAGTACATATACTCTGCAAATATAGTTGTATTTTCTCCAAAAAGTTAAACACAGCAACCTTCTAATTTCTATAAACTTCTGCACTATTATAATCACAACTACTACAGCTCAGTCTAAAAGACAAACAAACACGTAAGATAAATCTGACAGTCTGATGCAGAATGCCAGAAAGTTATTATGCCTAATGTTACAATTTTTCAAGGCATAATTTCAAGTGTTGTTTTTTACTTGTAAAATCCTATATGGTTGAGAACTTCATTATCTCGCTATCTTGGTATAAACTTGTACATACATTAGCATAAGTAGGGAAAGTCCTGTTAAAAATATGTTACATTCTGACATCAATGTTCCTTCAGAACTATGGAGTACATTCCCTCAAGGCTTATTCCCATGTTTTCTGCTTTAGAAAAAGAAGTCAAGCTATTCCTTCCTAAGCCAGATCTGATCAGTTTGAATTGTTTTTAACACTGGTATTTATTGTTTCCATGACATTTTTATTGTTTGTGGTATGTTTTATTTTTTTTAATGCTCATTAGCCGTAGGTTAAAAAAAAGTAGGATCTAGTCTTAAAATACCCAAATTATTAAACAATAAAGATATGCTTGAAATCATTGCTGGACTTCCCAACAGAAACATGTTAAGACTTACAAACAGATCAACAGATACTTACCTGCATAAGTTTTGTGTCATGTCCTGTGTAGACAACTATTCCTAAAACCCACTGAGTATTCCTTATTTGTGCACCTCTTAGTAATATCTGATCAGGTCCAATTGGAACTGGACTGATGAGAAAGAAGAGAAAAAGGAAGATAGAAGTTTATAGTATAATAAAAAACAAAATATAGGTTTTCCAAATATACTAATTAGAGCAGTAAAAGTAGTTATAGCTATTTATTGTATTTATTATGCAAATGTATACAGCCACCCAAGTGGCTATACAAATAAAGGTGACTCTATATAGGCGATGCCAGGCAGCTTACAAAATTTTAAAAATTCACCATATAATAAAAATCCATTAAAAACCCCACCCCCAATGGCAGCAACAATACAATCAAATCAGCTACTGCTATCATTACTGCCAAAATACTATCGTTTCAAAAAATTCTTTATGGCCTATTTTTTAAAAAAAATCTCTCCTGGTGACATGCAATTAAAATGTGAATAAAATCAATAAAAAATCTAATACACAATGAATTAAAACAAAATAAAAAATTAAAAGCAGTATACTACAATTGCCATAGGAATAAAATGCCATCGATGCAGCAGAAAGCAGCTAAAGTACAAGACAAAGGCCTAAGAGGATCTATCATATTTTCTTCATCATCTCCTTTTAATGACTCCATCATCTTTTTCCGGGTGGAGTCGGGGCAACTGAATGGAGCTAAGCAGAGTGTTTACTGGTCGGATGCCCTTCCTATTACCAATGTGGAGTTTTGTTCAGCAGATATATTCTCATCTGTGCCCAGAGAAAAATATCTGCCTCTACCTAGGATTGAACTCACAGCCTCCTGATTGTGAACTAAGAGCTCTACCTCTAGGCCACTGTACCACTCTGTGATCTATCATATTTTACCCACCATATTTTGTGCTACTTGAATTTTCCAGACAGACTTAAAGCGTTATTGTCAACATTTCTTACTGGCTCAATCAATTCATTTAGCATCATTCTGTTAAACACTAGGGATGCATGCCCTTAGGATTCAACTTATGGGTTTTATCATATGTTTTTCTAATCAAAAATAACTTCCATTTAACAAAGAATTTGATTAACTGTCTTCCAGTTCATGCTGTTTTCCACACCCCATCACCAGTTTTCATGAACAGGGGAATATAGCTACTTTTGAGAGACTTCTTGACATGCAAAAGTTTGGGGGACAGGAGGAAATATCAGTTGCTTTCATATCAATTGAATACCTTTGATTTTCAAGGCGGAGATTTCCAGTGAAATCATAGAGGTGACGATTAGGTCCTTCACACTCTATCGTCCCAGACATTTTCAACAAGTCTTCTTTTGATTGGAGGTTAGCCGTCTGAATCAATCCCTGTATAGAACCAAGCCATAGATATATCTGACAAAATATCGATTCTCTTTCACAAATTAGGAACTTATCTTCCTAGTGGAACCTGTAAGCCTACAATTCCCAGCTTCAGTCAGCATGGACCACCTAGGATAAGAGAAAACTTTCCAATTCCCACAGAACTTCACAATCCTCATCAGTACAGAGACATCACCCTCTGGCTGCTGTGAAGTCATTACGTCCTGATTTTATTCTAGCTATAATGGAATGGTACTTTGGATCTCCCTGCCATTTACTTTGGAAAGAAACGGATGAAAATTCCTGCTGTTAAAGCATAAGAATGTTTTTGCTTTTCAATGAGGGCGAGCAGATAGACTCTTTGAAAGTTCCTAAAAATGCCTTTACATACACTGCCCCAAGCCACAAATGGTCCTATGAAAATAGGGAGAATATGTAGACTAATTCTGATTTCCTTCACTGCCAAGAAAAATTCTCAGTATGGTTTAATAAAAGCCATTGCTCAATGAACAAGACTTTAACACAGAAAATCCAAAGATCCCAGGCAAGATACATAATTCTGAATAATGTGGACCTAGAACAAAAACAGCTTTGTAATTACAACCCTGGCAATGATCTTCAAGAATGATTTTCCAATATGCCTCATGCTATGTTGTCTTAAAATTAACAAATACCTCTAGATCAGGATTTCTCAATCTTGGCAACTTGAAGACCTGTGGACTACAACTCCCAGATATTCCCCTTGCTGGCTGGGGAATTCTGTGAGTTGAAATCCATGCAACTTCAAGTTGCCAAAAGTAAGAAACTTTGGTCTAGATGCCCCTTTAAGAGGAAAAAAACAACAAAGTTCAGATCTCCACCTACAATCACATCATGCAACTAATATTGAAAGACAGCCCAAGCTATTTTCCAAGTCATCACTTCATCACTTTCAAACACCAAAACAAAATTTAATTTTACCTGGCGTATTTTAAGGTTCGTCTCTCCATCAAGATTAGATGTTTCGATATAGCACATTGCCTGAGGTTCACTGAAAAAAAAAAAGTAACAAAACAAGCATCTTTAAAGACAATCTTCAAAAAGAAAGGTGACTGGTTTTCCAGTGTCTTTATTTTAATCAACTACTGATTTCCTCCCCCCCCAAATCATTATTAGTTTTACCAAAAGGATTTAAATAATCAGACATTTTCTTTTTTTTAGTAGGCACACATTAAAAAAAAAAGTAGTATATCAGAAAAACCACTACCTCAACAGCATGCAAACTCTGGTGAACTGAGGCCTTTATAAAGAAAGGCAGTAAGTAAAATATACCTGACATTTAACATGAAGCTGTGTGGAGGGGGCTAGAGGAGGCTACCCTAGCCCCTTATTTAAAAAAAAAAACACTTGTATCAAATTTAACAGATTATTTTTAACCAGGATGATGATGCTTAGTTGAAATTCTACTCAGATTTTGCCATCTTTTTTTTTTTTTTTTGTCTTGCATGGCAAACCTTTTGGTTGTTTGGTCATTCCAGCAACTCAGCCCTAATTGGCTTTTATAGAGTTCCGGAAAAATAGCAGAATAATTGCATTGTCTTAAAAGAAGGGGATGCTTGGTTATCGGTTCACAATGTAAAAATGTGGATTTCAAGTTTTAACTTATTTGGTAAATCAATACAAACATTTTGCCTCTTTCAAACTTCTACAGCTCACATCCAGCACTAATCATGACCAGACGCTTGTGGTATAAATATTACTTTCCTGAGGAAATTTTCACAACTTTCTCATATTATTTTGCCATCAAAAAGTACCCTTGATAAGTAAGAAAGGGTGTAGCTTATCAACCACTCTTTCTGTAAAAAGAAAGGTTAATTTTATTTAGGGAGGAACACTGAACTATTATGAATCCTATATTCCTGAATAAATAATAGATGGTGAGAATTGTTGGAGACTCAGTCTGGTATAGCAGCAGGGGTGAGCTTCAAAAATTTTAGAAATGGGTTCTCTGCCCGTTACTGGATGGGCGTGGCCATGGTGGACATGATCTAGTTGGCCTCCTGCATCACAGCAGGTGGGGGCGCTTTTGCCCTCCACAGGCTCTGGAGGCTTTCATGAAATGTTTAAATGTGTATTGGCAGTCAAAGCTTTTTGCCTTGATATTAAAAGTACAGATATTTTATTTGTGTGTATATACATGTGTGTGCCTTTTTCAGAAATTTTTGAATCTTAAAAACAGCAAGCATTTGAAATTTAAAGTAGAACACTTTATTCTCAAGAAGAAATCTGTGGGCACAATTCCTTGCATACCTCACAGCTGGACTATTTGGAGGCAAACAGCTGTATTTTCTGATTAAGGAAAGGCCTAAAAAAATCATGGAACAATAACATCCTCCAGTAAAATGCACTCACCAAAAGAAAGGAAATTCAGAGAAAATGGTAGAGAAGCAAACTTTTTCCTCAGAGAAAAAAAAGTTTTAAAGTGACCATAAAGCAAACAGGAAGACAGTTTTAAAGGAAACTAGTTATTCTTTCAATCAGGAACAGTTTTCAATTTTGATACTATTTAGAAGTATGACATTAGCTAGTAAGGTCTGGAATTATTATTTTTTCTTTGCATGCTGCCCATTTCTGAAAGAACCTATCCATTTAGGCAAACCATAATGTAGAAATTATCTTTTGTTGGAAATGTTAGCTTTGTAAACATTCATCTCATTTAACAGCAGAAGATAATGTGGAAAATTTGCAAATCTATGATTTCACTATTGTAATATATGTTGGAATATGTCTATGTTTTAAATTGCTACTATTAATTTTATGCATGTTTATATTCAAGAGGCTGTTAGCAAGGGGCTAAAATTAAATCAATAAATATTATAATTATTGCTGAATGGTACAAGATAACAGAGCATAAAATCAAGTTTTGTTAATTCCTGAATGGGAAATTTTATTTATTTATTTATTTATTTGATTTGTCAATCGCTTACAAGATAATAGGTATAAGTATAAGCATGAGTAAGAATACAGGAAATAGGTACAAATAAATGGGGACAATAGGACAGGGACGGTAGGCACAATGGCGCACTTATGCACGCCCCTTGCAGACCTCTTAGGAATGAGGTGAGGTCAATAGTGAATAGTTTAAGGTTAAAGGAGTGGGGGTTAGAGGGTGTAACAACAGAGTCAGGTAGTGCATTCCAGGCGTTGACCACTCTGTTGCTGAAGTTGAACTTTCTGCAATCAAATTTGGAGTGGTTTACATTGAGTTTGTATCTGTTGTGTTGTATTGTTGTGGTTGAGGCTGAAGTAGTCATTGACTGGTAGGAAAGATAATTTTGTGTACTATGCTTAAGTCCAACCGTAGGCAGAGTAGTTCAAGGTTGTCCAAGCCCAAAATGTCAAGCCTGGTGATATAGGATATTCTGTTGCGAGCAGAGGAGTGTAGTATTCTTCTCATGAAATACTTCTGGACTCGCTCAATTATATTAATGTCCGATATACAGTGCAGATTCCAGACTGATGAGCTGTATCCGCGTATTGGTCTAGCAAAATTTTTGTATGCCCTAGTTAGCAATTCAATATTTCCGGAGGAGAAGCTTCGTAAGAGAAATCTTACGAAGCTTCATTTTCATTTTCATAAGAGAAATCTTATAAAGTTCAGAAACCTGCAATATTTCACCCTAAAAATGGGAAGGGGGGGACCAATTACAATGCAAATGCTAATTTTCCTTCTCCTTTGGGTAATTCTTATTAAGATTAGTGTAGTGTGCACCAACTTTCTGGACCCCATGTTGTAAATCAGAGGTCTCCAACCTTGGCAACTTTAAGACTTGTGGACTTCAACTCCCAGAATTCTCCAGCCAGCTATGCTGGCTGGAGAATTCTGGGAGTTGAAGTCCACTAGTCTTAAAGTTGCCAAGGTTGGAGACCTCTGTTGTAAATTATATATCAAATGAAGGGAGGGAAGAGGAAGCACAGTCTCATCCTGTGGCTGACCGATTTTTAAAACTGCAAATAACATGCTTTAAAACCTCAGTTCAACAGAAGCCCAAGTTCATATACATTCAGGGATAGCTGACCTGGTAGATAAAATGATCATGTCTGCTGGGAGATGCTTCCCATTGGTGACCTTCACAAAGTCTCCCACTGCCACCTGGTGAGCAGCGGTAAGAGTGCAGCAGAAATGGGGAAAAAGAGAAAGACAGAGAAAGCCCACCCTACGATTAGTTAATTACCAACAAAGGAAGAAAAGAACAGGTTGCTTACCTGAAGACTGAGGTTCTCTGAGTAGAATTCAAAGTGTGAATTCAAACTGACGGAGATCTGACCCTGCACAGAACTTGTGTGTGAAAAATCCTATTGTTTTTTTTTTTTTTCATATGGCACAATACATCTCTAAATTGGCACACACACCCTCCCCCATTCAGACAAAAATCACTTTTATACCCAAAACTTCCCCATGTTAGTCATCTGATAAAATGGCACAACTGCATCATAGAGTTTTAATTCAGAGGTTGCTCTGGTGAAATTTCAGCCTGTGTCACTTGAACAAAAAATGATGCAGACCCAGTGCAGGTAATTGCTGACTTAAATACCAGGGACTCATGTGCTGACCTAGGAAAGTGACCTAGGAAAGTATTTTAATACACCCACAGATAAGGAGGACTGAACAGCAGAGAGCTGCGTGATACCTTGCAAAGCGAGACAATTCAGTGAGACAAACACCCCTGCTATTTGACCTCCATTCCTCATTACACACTCCTCATTTCCCTGTTTCTCACCTATTAGTATAGAATGAGGGTTTTGTTCAGAGCAGGGACAAATTAGCCATTACAGAAAAAAAAAAAAAAAAGCTGGGAAAATAGTGTAAGGATTAACAACTCTGCCTTGATTGGGTTAAATATAAGTTGAAATGGAGAAGAGCTTCTACAGGTGTTTAAGAATGGTATCAGCCCTTCAGAATAGATAAGGTCAAGAAACAGCAACTGCCATTATTTTTAGAATGTACTTTTATGCAGTTAAAGTATTATTATTACAGAATCTTGAAAGCACGTCAAAACCTTTGAAGAAAACTGCTATTATAAGCCACAGACAAGAATACAATCTTTTGTTGAATATAGACTTCTATCTAATTTATGTTTCTCGGTGTAAGTGTTATCTTGTACTCTGCTTCTATAATGGAGTAATTTATGACAACCATTAAAGCTTAGAAGCTTGCAAATATCCTTTATGTGCATATTTGCAGCTTAAGGAACACAATAAACTGGCAAAAACCAATGCTTTGTTCAGTTACATTTGTTTGGAAAACAGTTTGGCCAGCAGGTAATTTTCTCACTTGCTGACTATACTCAGTACATCATAGATGGAGCATTTTGCTTGACTAAGTGGACAGCAGTTAGTTTTGCAAATACTACAAAACTGAGTGCTCAATAAAAGGGTGGAAAAAAAGCTTGCATAACAAGACCCAAACACAATGTCCAAATGATGTACTTCAAGCTACCACCTTTATCACAACTGCTAACCAAGTTTAAAAACACAAGGACTTATTCAAGCAAGTAATATATAGCTAGAGTTTTCAAGTTTTCCAATACATTCATTCTCATAGCTACAGTTTTAGTTTCATACGGAATTTCTCATTAAAACCTTTCCTATTTGTAAGACCACATCCTTCTACAGTTACTATTATGTTTGCAGGATATTTGTAAGATTTTGTTAAAGGTGTGTGTTTTTGTGCTTTGGATATAAAGTTTCAAGGCTTTTCCTGTTTTCCCTAGGATGAATGGAAAAATTCTTACTGGAAAGTCCATGAACAGATTAAACCATATTAGATGCTTAGCTTGACTAGTTACAGCAAACTGTAACTATCTTTTACTGAACAGAATTTCAAAGACATCCATAAGAGAGATTTAAATCTTATCCTTTCCCAGTTTTTAACACTCTGCCATAAACTTCTAGAGATGAACATTATGTGGAAACTCCATTGCCAAACCTTGTCTTAGCAGTGTTTCTGACTGCTGCTCCTCTTTCTGAAGACCAACCCAATAATAGGAGACAAAATACAATTTAACAACAATTAAGGATGGGTCCCATTGATAGAAGAATTTTTAAAAAACCTCAACTATATGTATAATCAAATTCATCTTTGTTATGATTTCTGGTATTAACACTGATGGGAGAATTAGAAGATGTATACCTGGAGATGGGTCAGTGACAAGAAATGGGTGTTATTTCGAAGCTTCAACATGTCATAATTTTTCTAAATGAAGTTGAAAATGAAGACTAGGTTTTTTTTTAGAAAAACAATAAATGGCATGGGCAGGAAGTTATATTATCATCAACATATATGTATGTGTGCGTGTAGTGTGTGTGTGTATACACACATCCACACACACATCACTACCACTGTTATTTTTGTATTTTTCAATAAAAAATAAATAAAGCATATAGATTGCTAAAACTTTGAGGGGAATTAAAGAGGCAGTTTCCCATGGTATTACATAAAAGCTCAAGTTTCCAGTGACTGAAGAGGTCGACTCATTAACATAGACAAAACAAAAGAAAAAAGGCAGAGACTGGTATCATTTTCAGGGTATGCAAGTTATGCATGCCTTTGAGAAAACATTTAATCTTCATGTGCAGAGAGGAAGAGAGAGAGAGAGAGAGAGAGAAACCTGGATAAGATCTTGAGACGTGGAGATAACTGACAAATCCATAACAAGTCCACAGGAGTGCAATACAAACAGATTTTAGCTCAGTTTAAAAAAAGATGACACATCAGTAAGAGAAGATCAAATTTCCAATGTTCAGCAAACTTTAAAATGTTTACATTTCGATGCATAGTATTTGAACACAGAATACTTTTGGGATGTATCTAAAACACCTTTTGTGTCTTCTGGTATTTGGAAGTCAAACCCTCCAAGTGTCAGAAAGAGAAGGTTAAATTTCAACCATGGGTAAACTCTTCTTGTTAGATAGAAAAGAGGGATAAACAATACTTTGTTTAACTACTATTGAATAGTAAAGATGTGAAATGAGTTTAATGTCAAACAAAAAAGAATGAGTGGGAATAAATTAAGCGATAATCCCTTCCATGAAAGATACTGAAGGATACCTTTACTGAAAGATATTCATGGCTAAAATCAGTTCTAATGAAAAACAGTGTACATTCAGCATTGGGTGGGGACATAAACTGATAGATCAGAACATTTTCCTGCTCTTAGAACAGACAGAATCAGACCCCAAAACTCTGCACTATGGGAAAAAAAGATACAACTCTTTTCTTCCTTGGGTTGATATACCATAGTAATATCCACTGAAAGCTTAACCTTGAACACTTGGAGTACTTCTCTACAGAGAATTATTGAATCTGTCATCTGCATCTCTATAACTGTCTGGTTTGGTTCTGCAACCCAACAAGACAGACACAGACTTCAGAGAGTAATTAGGACTGCAGAAAAAACAATTACTACCAACCTGCCTTCAATTGAGGACCTGTATATAAAGAGGGCTGTGAAAATATTTACAGACCCCTCACATCCTGGACATAAGCTGTTTCAACTCCTACCCTCAAAACAATGCCATAGAGCACTGCACACCAGAACAACTAGACACAAGGACAGTTTTTCTCCGAACACCATCACTCTGCTAAACAAATAATTCCCTCAACACTGCCCAACTATTTACAAAGTCTGCACTACTATTACTATTAATCTTCTCATCACTCCTTATCACCCATCCCCTCCCACTTGTTGACTGTATGACTGTAACTTTGTCGCTTGTATCCTTACAATTTATATTAAGTGTTTTCTAGTATGATTTGATTGCTTATTGTACGTTATGACTATTATTAAGTGTTGTACCTTATGATTCTTGATGAATATATCTTTTCTTTTATGTACACTGAGAGCATTTGCACCAAGACAAATTCCTTGTGTGTCCAATCACACTTGGCCAATAAAAAATTCTATTCTATTCTATTCTATTCTATTCTATTCTATTCTATTCTATTCTGTTCTGTTCTGTTCTGTTCTACTTTTCAGAAACATGAGAAGTTATAGAACATTTATCTGTGGATTTTCTGCAGTCACAATTCCCAATTATAGCTATATATATTTATCATCCCTAGAGAATGATACTACAAAAAAGATAACCTTGTTAGTGAATGTAAATATATCACAAGTGCAGTTGTCATATGCCCAAATGAGAATAAGAACCATTGTATTAATTACTGATGTTCCATATTAGCAGGCTCGAAACCCTGCGTTCCTATTGGCCCAGACAAGCCGGATCTTGATTGGATGGCTTGAACGTTCCTGATTGGCTCGTACAGGGTTTGCCGCGATTGGCTAAAACCAAGCGCGGCAAACTCAAAGAGTTGTCATTGGCTGCCTAGCCACGGCCAGCTCTATAAGAAGAGCTGCCATGTGCTAGGGTTTTGTCTCAGAATCTATCTGTAAAATAAAGAGCTGTTGTTCACTACTCGAGCCTCGTCTATTCATAGGACCCACCGACCGAACTTAACACTGGCGACGAGGATGGGATTCTGAGACAACAAGACTAACCAGCACGTGGCAAACGGCGCAGAGACGACCAGCAAAATTGCCAGCAGCGCCACCCCGCCCGCACCATTTAACCCAGCCAGCGAAGACTGGGAGTCCTACATTGATCGTTTCCAAATGTTTTTGGAATCCAACAACTTGAAAGACGCCACCGGCAGCAAGAAACGGGCGGTATTTTTGACGCACTGCGGGCCTGCCATTTTCAAAATGGCCAAGGCACTAGCAAAGCCCTCAGATGTCAAAACAATGGATTGGGACAACCTAGCTCCCATCCTCCGAAACCACTATGCCCCGGCCGTACCAACCCTTATCCGGAGGCATGATTTTTACCAAAGAGACCAGCGCAAGGGCAAAAGAATCGGTGAATTTGTGGCCGACCTGAGAGACCTTAGAGGTTTGTACGGATTCGCTAACCTAGATGAGGCCACGCGAGACCGGGTCGTTCTCGGCCTGAAAGACCCAGCACTCCAAAGCAGACTAATGGCCAAGGGTGACATCTCCCTCGCCGACGCCATAGCTGAAGCAACTGCAGCCGAAGCTACCCGCAAATCAGCGGCCCGAATGTGGCATTCAAACGGAACCGATCGTCAATCGA